TTTAAGATTGTCTGCTATGCTGAATTTTATTTTTTGATATCGACCAATCATATTTGTGATGATCCTTCCTATGATCATATGATAGGGGCATGTCTTTCGGCCAAAAGGCATGCCCCAGGGGCATGCCCTCTGGGCATGCCTCTAGGGCATGCCCAGGGACCCCGTGCCACCTACCTACACTTAACGCACCATACTAACTAATTTTGGCTAGTTTCGACCTGAGCCACCTCACGTCATTTACACCTTCACAACATTCATGACCTTTTTTTTTTTTTTTTTTTAAATTTTTAATAAAAAAAAAAAGTATAAATACAACCCGAATATGATAAAAATTTTTGGGGGATCTGATCTATCAGCTTAGATAGTTCTGATCGATCAGCTCAGATAGTTCTGATACGTTCTGATACAATAATATAAAATTTTTCTATGAAAATCTTTTCTGCTTTAGTCAAAAAGGAAAAGTGGCAGTTCACGAGCAAGATTCGAAGCCAATAAGAAAATGGCCACATGTCCAAACACGATAAAAAAAAGAAATAATCAGATGCAGATCACTGAAAAAACTTTGAAAGAGGTTAAATAAATAAATAGTTAAAAAAAAAAAACAAAAAAAAACAAAACACAGAATCTTTTAAATTAATAGATAGAAAAGATAATAGACTCAGAACTTTATAATACTTATTTTGAATTTTTGCAGAGCACCACTGATCTTTCTCAATATACCAAAAAGCAAGCCCAATATCTAAAACACAAGACCTGGCATTATATAATAATTAACAATTTACTTTATAAAACCAACTCACGCAACCCCTCATACTCGTACAGAGTCTTAAAGAAGGATGCAATTCAAGCCGTCCTATTTAGTATGCACAATGATCCACTTACTGGATATTTTGGATATGAAGCAACTTACCAATGAATAGCTGCCTAATATTATTGGCCCCAAATAGGGAATAACATTAGAGAATATACCCAGACCTGTGAATGGTGTCAGAAAAAGAAGCAATCACAAACCAGGAAACTCTTATATCCTATTAAAGTTGGTCAGATCTTTGACTATGTAGAAATTGATATTATGAGACCACTCCCCCGAACTTCTAAAAATTATCAGTACATTGTAATAGCTACTGAGTACCTTACTAAGTGGCCCGAAACTCATCTAATCAAAAAAGCTGATGCTGAAACTGTCGCAGACTTTATTTTTGAAGACCTTATTTGTAAGCATGGCTCTCTAAAGAGTTATTATCTGATTAGGGGTCTCATTTATGCAACCAGATTATTAACACCCTTTGTAAGAAGATGTGTATCATCCATCATAAGTCTACAGCTTACCATCCACAAACCAACAGTTTGGTTGAATAGTTTAACCATACCCTTTGTAGGGTATTAAATAAATATGTCAACCAGTTTGAGCAAATGTGGAATGAATATGTAACACCAGTCCTTTTTGCCTATCGTATAACCTAATACTTTACCACCAGACTGAACCTTTTTTCCTAATATATGGGTGTAACACTGTTCTTCCAATCGAATTTCAGTTGGAAACCTTCCCTACTAAGCCTAATACAGAAGAAGAGTTGAAGGCCTTGATATATTGGCGAATAGAAAGGATATATGGGGAATTAACAGAAGCATGTCAACAGGAAGTAGATAAAATAAAAAAAGTGCAAAATCGACAAAAAGAATATTATGAAAAAAGAAATTAAGTTGAATCATATGGGATCAGTGATCAGGTTTTTTTATATAGGAGTAAATTAGCTACATCACACAGTACTAAATTAGAACCCCAAAATTTGGGTCTCTATTATATCTATGATGTACTACCCAACAGAGTGTACAAATTATGGACAATGGACGGTCACGTATTTAAGAAAAGGTATCATAGGAACCGGTTGTCACGTTACTATTCCTTGCAATAAGTTCGACCATTGTAGTATGTCCGTCATGGCTCTTATAAAAAGCCGTCTCTTGGGTCTTTGTGAAAAAAAAAAAATAATAATAATAATATATATAATATATACAAAATAATGAATCCTATTGAAATTCTCACCAATATTAAAAAGACTCTTGCCCTTCTCAAAGGTCAGTTAAAGAGAGCGCATATCGACAGAACTTACCACATTTCAGCCTAACGTATCGAATATCAAGAAGGATCCTAAACCCAAGCCATGCTAATTGAACATACTGATAAGCTTCACCTAAGGATGCCTGAATTCCTTAACGATCTTCGTACTAATAATAAAATCGTTCGGGAGATGGAAATGCCTTCCGGGCATAACTGGGACAACAGAGTAACCTTCATCTGTAATAAAATTTCAACTGAAAAAAGTGATTGTAGTACTCAACTTCCCTATCATTATTATTTGGAAGCCTTGCTAGAAGAAAAGTCATGAGGCAAAGAAGCTAAAAAGGTTGTCAAAAAATTATTACCCCCAACTAGAGTTAAAGAAATTATTTTAGCGGCAAGACACACCTATATTTTATACTCCATTCATGGTCTTTCTTGCCTCTATACGTCTAGTCATATTACCTCTTATATTATGTATCAGATCTGAGATGAAGATTTCCTCCTCCTAAAGGAAGAAGCCCAATCTATTGTTCAACAGGAAATCAATAAAATTCTACGCTTGGCAGATTTCGCGGGGGCTCAATATCTAGAAGAGGCAACTGTAATATATTAAATTTTAATTTTTTATATTTTGTAAATAAAATCTTTATTTTTGACAGCAAATTGTCTGTATATACATAATTAATTAGTAATTTCCCCATCCATTCTGGTAACAATGACCGATTTTGGAAAATTTATTAAATTTTTTTAGATATTCATAACTTATACTAAAATAGTAAGGATAGGTGGCTTGGTGCTTTATCATGTGAATGTTACTCAAAGCACGTGATGGTGGATACGTAAACGTAGCTATTTGAACTTGTTATGAGGGCTACTTGCATAATCACATGAAAATGATTGAGGAATAGGAGAGTAAACATCCTCATAGCTAAGCCAATGTAGTTGTAGTGGTGCGAACATAACTGATTGAACTTGTTATGGTCACTTATGTGTAAGGTAACTTAGAAAGAAGGTGTGTAAATGTCGTTATAGTTGTGTAGTCCTAGTAAAAGTCATATAAACGTAGTAGCTGAGAAGTAAGCATAGCCATAGTTCAAAATGTATTTAAGAACTTAAAGTTCCAGGCAGTAAAGATTAGAATTTTATAGTTTTATTACAAAAATAAATAAAGAAAACTATTCTATTCTCATAACATTGTTTCGCTTGAATAAAAATATTTACTTTTCTAAATACTTCTTGCATACTGCCTTTGAATTCGATTTGTAACTTTAATAAACCCAATCAAGACTCAATTCAATGGACCGAATTGACTTATAACTTCGACGTGGATTATTAAGACTCAGATTCTAAATCATATATTGTTATATACAACAATAACTTACAGGAATTGTAATAGGAAACACTGCCTTCATCCTGCTATCTGACTTCGGTAAATCATCATATGAACTTAAAGTTATACCGGATCATTGTCCGCTTTTGGCCTTATTATCATCCCTAAGATTACCACCCTCCTTTAAATTATCATTGTTATCCTTGAAATCACCTTATTGACTACCATTGTTAATGGTATCACCTGACATTGCATCACTTCTCTCACCATACCTTGTCGAAAATTAAGTATTTGTAAAATTGTCACATTGTTTCTTTTGTTTAGTACTATTATAAAAAGACCCATGTTGCTCTCCATTTACCTTCATCTTCACATACACCATTGGAGTTAAATTGGCCTTTTATTCACATAATCTTCTTATGCTCT